TTCCAGTCCATCCAGAAGCAGCTCCAGAGAGTACCCTGGATGATAAGACATGTCTTTACTCTTGTTATTACTGAAAAGGTGAGTAATAAGCCAATCAGACTACCGTAGTATTCCTGTTATAACTCCTGACTTGTCCATCTCTCCTTGGTGCGACATTACTGCTTGGGAGCAGCAGATACAGGACCCCTGAGCAAGAGACTTGTTTTATGACCAACTCAGGGCCCAGATTATATCATTTTATAGCTTCAGACACATCACTTACCAGTCTATGTCATAGTACTTAGGCTGGAGACTATATTACTTGTGTGCCTCAGAGGTCCAGACAGTTAATGTTTCTTTGTATTCCACTGAGGCCTTGCAAAGAGTCCTGAGCAAAGGACTATTGGTTGCTCTGTGGCCCATCCAAGGAAACTGTGCTCAAGAGAGTCAGAAAATGGGCCTGCATCTCTTTAGTCAGATGTGCAGCCAGTTGCTTATTAAAAAAAGTATGCAAAGAAGAGCAACCAAGCCCACAGCAAAAGTATACAGGTATAACCAGCTAAGGTGCTATCTGTATTTTCCAGGTGTTTGAAGCCAAACTGCTTGCAGTTAGCCAGTCCTTCCTCCTCTATGTGTGCACAAAGTTGGGGAAAAATCACTGGGAGATTTTATTGGAAATCACTGAGCGCATCACCGAACATATCCAAGCCAGCCACACACAAGGTAAGGAAATGCAAGATAGACCTGAGGCATAGGCCAAGCTGGTAGTTGCTTTGGGCATCATACTTTTGGCAATGGCAAAACAGTCATAGCTCTGCTGATTACTATTCCAAAGCATTTATTAGACTGTATGCCCAACTATTATCCTTTTTTTCAAAGGATAATAGTTTTTCATTCATATGATTGAGGAAGATGATAATAATGATGAAAATGTGACTGTTCAGAAAGAGGGAGGACTGGGCTTTCAGGTTCTTAGATAAAGTGGCTGAGATCTTCACTATCCAGTCTTTCTGAGACAATTGCTTTGCTGTCCTTTGAACTTAGCCCTGTGCTGCTGAGACAAAACTTTCAAGAGAGACATAAACCAGCACTCCAGTTGTCTATGGATGTTCATCCTGGCATGGCTTTATCAATGAGATTGTGGTGACTTGGCTCTAATGACCTAGTCAATGCCATAGCAAATAAACGCTATTCTTTTCCTCATCCTGTCTCAAACCTTTACACAATAGTGCCATATTCTTCTTAAAAGTTATAATGTGTGTTTTAAGGCTCACTGGAAGGTTTCTTGCGCATTGTGGAACATGCAGGCTTCTCTGCAGTGACATTAACAGAGCACTTTTCTTAATAGGGGCAGTAACAGAGTGCCTGGATCTTCTCCAAAGCCTATGGGAATGGTGCATAAGAACTGCCACCAAAGAGAAGAAGCCTTTGGTAATGACCATCCTCAATCATTTCTTCCAAAAGTTGCTTTACCACCCACTGAGTGAAGTAAGACACTGCATCGCACTACTGCTCTTTAGTGAGAATGGTGCATGCATGCATGTTACTGAGCTGGGAAACAAAATGATTCCAGCTGATCCTAGCCACGTTGAGGCAGCTCTCCAAGATTATCTGAAGCTCACCTTCCCCGATTTAGCCCTCAAGGGACAGCTGAAGGCAAATGACAATAGCATGATCGTGCAAGGAGTCATACCTGCAGGCAATGTGAAGATCTGCATAGCGAAACAACAGACCCTGAATGACATCTTGCAGACGAACACCACCAACAGTGACTGTGAAAGGTTTCAAGAAGTGATCAGAATAGTGGTTCTGTGTGCAGATAGGGAGTCCATTGCCAAGCTGCAAATGTCCAGTGCCTATGGAGTGCCTCCTTTGTACATGTTGGAAGATGGGAACCCACTCTTGGCTTTCCTGCAGGAAAAGAGAAATAAGCTCACCCTATCCAATATGTTAGGCATTTTAAAGGACATTGCCAGAGCTGTCTGGTCCTGTCACCAGAAAAGGGTATTACTTTGCGACGTCACACCAGCCAGCTTCATCGTGTTCACAGGTGGTGGACAAGGAACAAGAGCTCTTCAGATTCGGGCTAAGCTGTCTAATTTCCTCCAGGCCAGGCTGGCTCCTTCAGAGGATGAGAAAGATTATTCTGCTAGTGATTTTCCTTATGAAAACATCAAATACTCACAGGTCACAGGTACAGATAGTAGGGCTGGTGGGCTGGGCTGGGCTGGGCTTGGGAGAGGTGGGTTCTTTTTGCTGGGCTACTATTCACTGAACTGCTCTTTTGTGAGTCATTTCTCTGCTCTGAGGTTGAGCGTCCTCAGAAAAAGCAAGATTTATTTGTCCTTTCCCATATCCGTGAAGAGCTCAGAGTGCCCTGGTAAATGCAAGTTAGCACTATTAATAACATGAATATGCAACTAGACCAAGAACTGCATGATATGATAAAAGTTTCAGAGAGCACTTATTTTGAGACTGACCACATACAAAACAATTGAATTCAATTGCTGGCACTCCAGTTTGTTCTCTTCCTGGTTGGTTGTTATTGCAGTCTGGCAGGGTTATCGATGCCCTGACTGCCTGGCTGGGGGTGGCTGGCTCTTAGAAATGATTTACATGCATGCAGCACAGTTAGCACTTGAAACTGGTGCACATAGCGTTAACCATGTGGTTCTTACAAGGAAATGGTTTTAACAAAAATAATTGGTTCAGGAAGTACATAAATATTCAATGAGTCACTGCCTATGGCAACACCTGTTGCATCTTTTCTTGGAGAGTTATCATAACAGACTATGATTAGATCACTGAGTCATCAGAAATGATAGAAAACCCAAACTGTAAACAAAGTCAATCAAAGGTTAAAGGATGAAGCTGTCCCAGAAATGCCTATGGGTTTTTTAACTTTGAAGCCTTTCTGCTCATTCTCTTTGCAATCCTAAGCAAAGCCCTTGCTCATTCACTCAGTTTCCCTTTCCATAACCAGAGCCACATGAGCCTGATGGCCCAGGAATGTTATAAGGGTAGGTGAGTGCCTATGCAGGTTCTTGGACATGTGATAAAGGCTGAGTTGTGCTCCAGACTTCCTTCAGAGAAGACATGAAAATGGCCTCCTTTTTTCACACCCGTCAGAATTTCTTTGAGACCTCCATCCCTCAGTCAGATGTGATTACAAATGGTCAACAGTTTTCTAAATTTTTAAGGTGCAATAGAGACGGTCTCTCACAGTCAGCATGAATTTAGCCCCCTTACTAGTAACTTACAGGCTGTCTAGTAGCTCTTGTTAATAACAGTTTTCTCAGCTTTTTTCTTCTCGTTAGCCACTTCAGTTGCTGTGAGGATGATTACTAATAGTTGCTAAGATAAATCTATATCTGTGGCAGGGGTAGGAGAATCCTATTCATGACCTTCATCTTGATTCACTTCTGTCTTAATACAGGGGACAGTAAGGAACCACTGTCCATATACTTCAGTGCTCCTGAGTCCCTGAAGTATCATATCTTCTCTGCTTTCTCTGACGCATGGGCCATTGCTGCGACATTTTACTCCATTCTCCTGTATGGTGGGCAGACATACTTTGAACTCAGGCACTTGCCTGTGTCCAGGTTCATAGAAGAGGTAAGTGGTTTTCGTAGCAGATCAGAAAAACATCTTTTCTACCCACTGGGACATGTATTCTTAATGACAGAGGGTTTTGGGGGTGTGAAGGGACATTAATAGTGGCCCATGAACATCAGTCATGAAAAATACAACCTATTCCGACCTGAGATGCTGAAGTTCACATTGTGTTCAGTCTTTAAACCATGAGCACTTTGACAGAACATCCAAATCTGGAAAAGTGCACGAAGAACAGTGTTCAGCCATGCAAATAACCAGCTATCCCTATCTGACTGGTTACGCATCCATGTGTCTGGTCTGGATAACCTCCATCTTCCCCAAAGTAACTGAGGGAGCGAAGGCTTCAGAGAACCCCTATGGTAATCAAGTCTTCTGGAAAGAGAAAGGAAATTACAGAATCTATAAGAACCAGAGAGAACATTTGCATATTGTTAAAAGAATTAGCTTAAACAAAAATAAGTACTTGCTACAGCAGCTTGTGTAGGGTAAGCAGAAGTTGAAGATTCTGCTCCAAATACTGTACTGAGTTACTGTATCAGAGCAGGCTGAAAACCAAGTATATCTGAATAACATCTTTGCCTTGGGGTGGGAGTGTAGGGTCTGATACTGCTATGCCTGAAAGATCTATGACTGCTGCATTGGAAACTGGTAAGAAAAGCAGAATGGGAACAGCTAGGGTATAAAGGAGTTTAGTTACAAGCAATAGGGCATTATTGGGTATTTCAAGGGTGAAATCATCAAGTGAAAGGTTATATGGAAGCCAAAATGGCAGCAGTTTAAAAATCTCAGCAATGTTACACAGTGGTGTAGGGGAATTAGAAGGGTTAAAAAGATATTTAGATAGGTCAAATTCTGCTCTGTTACCTTGCTGTAATCCTGGAAATCAGTAATTGATTTATTTATGTTCCCAAAACCAATGATGTGATGTTGTGATAGTAGGCTAAGCATTGCTTAGGGCTTTTACTTTATTGCCATGCAGTCAGGCTCAGCTGCAGTCACCAATGGTTGGTCCTTTTCTTTATCTTTCCCTCTTAGATGTGCAGTGGGCACAGAGCACAAAGACCAGACTCAATTCCCCTGAAGCTGTGGGACATGATAGCCCCTAACTTGGAGCATAATGAGACAGAGCGTACATCCATGGAGGCATTGGTAGAGCACTTGAAAAACTACCGTAGTACCCTGGGTATGGAAAACATTTAAATTAGCTAATCTTTTGGCCTTGTAGCAATGGCTACTTAATGCAGTGTTTAGAGTGGTAGTACCCAGTCATGGGCCCATGATAGGGCTGTACAGACAGCAAAAAGACAGTTCCTCCCTTAAAGGGTTAACAATTTTAAGCTAAATATAACTATGAAAAGTATGTGCCTGTTCCCTCCTACAGAAGAGCAGAGCCCTACAAGTTGGAGAGTGACACCAATTAGAGAGCTAATCTTAGAGATCCACTTTTGGTTTTTGCCAGGATCCTGCTTGTGACTGTTTCTGTTACCAGTGAAACACCATGCCAGCAATGTGAAATTCCTTGTGCTGTGAACACCTAGGTCTGAGGAATTCAGAAAGCAGCACACCAATACTTGTTATCTTTCTATCTCAATAAGAGCTTGTAGAGTGACAGTAACTGTGACCAAGCAGATTATTTAATTTGTTAAAAATTCTTTGTGGTATAATATACCTGACTGATAAATTCATCAGTACAGTCAGGGTCTGGGTAAACTTCTCCATCAGTCCTGTGCCATGATTGTACCCCATAGTGTTCTGGGTATCCATCCGTTCAAGGGAAGACTCAGATCTAACTCTACATTTACAATATCTGCCATAGTAAAACCTTGAGTTTTAGGTAGCAGAATCTGATTTCATTTACCCCATTCACCTGGTGCATGGGGCAGTCAGTGGGACAGAAGTCTGACTCAGCAACGTTTCTTGCCTTGCCCTTAATCAATGACTTGAATTGAACTAATGATAATTTTGACTCCCTGGTTGAATTCACTTTTATTATGCTATGAAAGCTATTTAATATGTAGGAGACTCCTCAGATGACTACAAATAATTTTATTAGCATAATACCACCAACCGGACACTGAAAACAGCCTGAAACAGCCCCACAGAAAGACAGGAGGCAATACATTTCCCAGCCTCTCGTCCAATTCCCTGGTTACAAAGCACAGTCTGATGGATCGGTCTGTTTCCACAGCTGGGAGTGTTTTGAGTCCTCTTCACAGAGGAATTTGTCTCTCTTTGGAGGGGCCAACACGCTTCTTGTAGTTATTCACGGTGCTAACTCAGAGCATGAGGACATGCCCTTGGTGGTTTCTGCTGCCTGGTGGTCACTGCTACAGCCTCTTGTTCAGGTGTTGTTGGGCATTTAACAATATTGACGCCACTACTAGAAAACACCCATATTTAACTTAATCAACGTTCACTCCAAAGTTAATTAAGGCTTTTGGCTGCCGGCATATACCTGGTGTGCAGCACAGGCTCCTGGCAGGTCTGGCCAGCCAGTTCAGCATAACTGCACAGATACAGCAGAGGTACGTTTCATACTCAGCGTTAACTATTGCAATTTGTATCGGCAGTGCGAACTAGACTGAGATCATCCTTTTACACGGGTCACTGCGGAGTCATCTCTTTCCCCACCTGGTGCTTGTCTGTAGAGCTCTTTATTCACTTTTCAATACATTATTTGAGTACCTTCCTCACATACACGAAGTGACTAACATCATGGGCAGACTAACAGCTGTCACATGCAATTCCTCTTCCCTCTACTGCTTTGCCTCCCCACCTGCTGCAGCTTCAGGATCCATTTCAAGAGACATCCCAGTAGGTGAGTAGTACCTTGCTCTTGCTGAAGACTTGGCAGCAGATTCTCTGAGTCGTTTTGTTTGTGCTGGAGAAACAGCGATAACAGCCATGGTCTCTGGGGTTGCTGGAGCATATGGATGACTTTCATGTCACTTGAATGGCTGTTAGATACTTCCATTTACGACGCAATATTTTTTGGTTGTGGCCTGCAGTTCTTGACCAGATTTTTTGCTTCAGTCCAGGAATAAGCTTTTGTTTGCCCACAAGGCACACCTTTTGTTTGCCTCCAAGGCTCTCTGTCATCATGACAGCAAAGGAAGCTCCCTTCCTGCCCTCAAGGTGCGGGTAGTACCAAGTACAAACTCCAGCCTTTCTCTTCTTTTTCTAGGGTCGGGTCTGGACAAGCGGCATGAGATAACGAGTCAGTTCTCTCCCATCTGCGAGGAAGATATCATAAGGGTAACTGTCAGTGCTGCTTAGTAACTTTTCTGGATCTGCCAACTTTGTCAATATCTTCTTGCATGTCCTAGAGCATTGTGTCTTGGGCACTGGCTGCTGTCACTCACGTTATAGCTGACTAATGGTCAGTCCGTAGCTAGAAGTAGCTTTCTGTTATTCTGTACGGTAATTTCACGCACAGAAGCTGCCTGACCAAGGAGGACTGGGTGTAAGAGAAGGGGAAATCGAACCTGTGGCGTTATCCTTTCTCCAAGGCCTTGTACAGTCTCCAGGTTGCCATTACGAAGCAGTTTGGGGGCAGATGTGAGCTCATGCGACCCCGCACACCGAAGGGGCTCCAGCTGTGTGGCTGCTAGCCTGGGCTGGCCGAGAGGGGGCTTGGGCACAAGGCTGTGCTAACCCAGCTGCACTGCTTTTCTCCAGCTCTTGTGTTTTGAGCACCTGCAAAACATGGTGCAACAAACTTCTCCGGTGTTGTGAGTCCCTGCTGTTAACAGCTTCGTTCCTGTTGCACTGGGGGTCAGCAGGAGCGCAAAGCCCACTCGCCAGACCATAGCGGACTGCCAGACCACAGGGCAACCTATCTGCGAGGCATGCTTGCCTCGTGCCAGATACGCGTTCAGAGAAAGCCGGTCCGATAACCTGATCATCAGGGCTCACACAGCGTTTATGTTAAGTTTTGAAAAGTCTGGCCTTTTCCTGAGCTTGCCTCTTCACTGCTGAACCTCAAAAGGCAGGCATGCTGAGTCTGGCCAGGCCTCAGACAGTCAGATCTGGCTTCTCTGACCCTGTGGGAGAAAAAAGATCAGAGGCAGACTTGCTAGTCCAAATCTCTTTATGGGATGCAATTGAGTATTGTCTTATTTTCAGTGTGAATCTTGACCGCTGCGCTTGGCCCAAAATAAAAGCACCCGTTTAACAGACTTGATAAGTGGACTCAGCAAAGCCAGGATGGCTCCAGACATGAAGAAAAATGTATTTTAACATTTCTAGTGCAAATTTTAACCTAAAAGCAATGAATTTACGCCTCCTTAATCCTGGGCTGTTTTCTTACATTCATGGTATTGTAGCGACAGCATTTTGCAGCAGGCTTTTCTTGTTTGGGGGATGAAAGGTCATCTGGAAGCCTCTCCTTCCCAGGATCTGCACTGCCATCTCCTGGCTTTCCTGGCATTATTAAGTCTCGGGGTAATGGTAGCTCTGTCTGCCTAGAAGGAAAGAAGCAGAGACGATAACTCAACATTTAATTATGTTTTCTTCTCCCTTCTGTCTTCCAGGGCTACGTTGACAGCAAAGGTATGAATGAGATATGTCTGTAGCAAGAAAACTTTCTTAACAGCACTTGTGTCTCAAGAGGAAATCAACATATGTAATAATAGGAGGATGTAGGAGGTCTTGCAAAATACACGTACTAGAAGTGGGAGAGCAGTGACAGGGCGGGTTGGACTGCATTTGTGTAAGCCCCACAAGGTTTAGAGGCTCTGCTGAAATCAGCATCAGGTTGGGATCATATTCAGATGTGTGAATCGGTCCAAGCATCTAATGAGAAAAGGTCTTTCCATGAGATTTCTCAGAGTTTCTCTACAGATGGAGATCCAGAAACACAAGCATGGGGATAAGTTAGTAGCTTGCCCAAAGCTGGGATCAGTTTTGGATGACGTTGCAGCTTGGGTCTGACAGCTTAGCTGTAAAACCTCCCAGAACGGATGTTATCACTCCTGAAAGGGGAGCCTGCGCTTCACCAGTTAGCCAAGCGTGAGGGAAACTGCCAAAGGAGGCTCAGTGGGGCTGGGTACAGGTCACAGGAGAACCTCAAGAATTCAAGGCTTCATAAACACCAAAATCTTGTGAGGCTTCAGAAATAAATGGTGTCACAAGCAGGTTGCTGTCTCAGGGGAAGAAATCTCACTGGTTCAGCTGCTTTCAGAGGCGCACAGTGCAACCACACTGCACTTGCAGTGTCCCTGGAATGGACGGCCTTTCAGGATCAGCATCTCTGACTTCTTTCACTGATTTTGGAGAGGCTCAGAAATGAACATGAGCACGTGTGGTCTGTGGTGATGTAGAGTGCAGGAGGGCAGGCAGGTCATTAAACATGTTATACTAACAGAGGGTTAAAATGCTGAAATGTGCAGGGGTTTGGTTTCCCGGTTTTCCTTTTCCTTCACTTTTGGCTGGCAGAACATGCTGTGCTGAAAATGGCAGCCCCGTGGAGCGGAGGAAACTTGTTCTCTTGGTGTGCGGTTATTCTACACAAGTTACTTCCCTGAGGAGCCATGTTATGTAAAAGCATATTCTGGTGAAGAGACTGCAAGACTCAGCCACAGAGGAAGGTGCTAAACACTCCTTCTTTAAAAACAGAAGGCCTGATACAAATCTTCCTTAGGCAGGGGTAAACAAGGAGCAACTTGCCAGGCATAAATGCAGCCACCTCAACATATATCCGATGTACATGGGAGGAGAAATAGGCTTCCCTGCATTTTTTTCTTGTTGTTTCTTCAGGCAACTTCAAAGAGAGTGATCCACCAAATGTATTTCCAGGCACGTGCGAAGACAGTGTTGAGTGGAAGGTAATGCTTTGGTTTCTTAGTTATCACTTCATCTCTCCTAGCAATGCAACCTTTATCTGCTTTATCAATAGAAATACTTAAATTTTACAGTCAAAATTATGTGAAGAGACAGTAGCTAGAGACACCAGCTAGACACATTCAGATAAGAAATAACGACTTGTGATAGATTTATTATCAGTGGCAGTTTTTGAACTCAACCTGGCTGAATCTTTCAAGGTTATGCAGGCAGTTCAGACAAGCAAAAATTCATTGTCTGTGCTGAAGAGAAAGTCAAGTGAAAAAAACACATTAGTTCTTTGTGGCGTCATCATGTATTATAAATGCACACTTTACTTGGAGGAGTCAGTTTAAGAGGAACCGGAGTAGTAAACCAAAATGCCTCAACAGCTGGGAAAGAAACGTGATGGAGAAACTTAGATATTTGTAGCTTTTATGTGAGACTTCTTTACGATTTCTTTTTTTTAGTGCTTTTGGTATGGCTTGGCCTGCCAAAGTTTTTCTGTCTCTAGGACTTTCAATATGAACATTTCCTTTATGGGTAAATTTGCTGACCAAAAACACAAGACTGAGTTTTCTATAAGCATCATGTTTCGTGTGAGTAACAAACGGTCTCTTCAAAGCCAAAACTCTTCAGGCCAACAAAATTTCAGAGTAAATTTTGGATATTTGTTTCTGGCTTCTCAAATCTTGGGGTGTTTGAAGTTGGGAAACGTCACTTGTTTCTTCTAAATGTCAATGAAGTTAAACCATCAGACTATTCTTTTGCTCTTCAAAACTTAACAGTTGTTTAAAAAGGCTAGTTAAATGGATAAGGCCAGGCAGGGCAACTTTTTCCATTACAAAGTCTGTAATTCTTCAGTGACTCCTTTCAAGTCAGTGGGGTTTCCCTGAAGCTGTTAAGAGAAGAAATTGGCTCTTTCTTACCATAACAGGTAAGACCCAAATTCCATCATTTTCTCCATAAAGAGGCTGGCATATTGCTGCCAAAGAGGATACTGGCAGTTAATTTGCAGGTTCTCTTGCAGGATGGTTGCTTATGTGAGTTGATGTCATTCAGAATGAACCGTATGACCAAGACAGCCCTGCATGTGTTAGACCATGAGTATATACTACCGGTAAAAGAAATCACAAATTACTTCCCCATGACCACCACACTGGTGAGTGCAGCAGGAACGGTTTGAGAGAGCCTTGCTGTGGCTCTGTGTCACCAAGGGAGCAGTGGCTGTGGCCTGGCTCCCGCACGTGGAGGGCTGGCGGGTGACTATTGCGTGTGCAGGCATGCAGAGGAGATAAGGGAGGGCAGATAAGATGCAGCTGCAGGACAGCTTTGGTTTTTGAGAGTCTGGACTGGTGAGTCAGTGAAAAAAAACAGGAAGGAAATCTGACGTGAATGTGGGTCTTATGCCTTTCATACTATGGGTCATCCGCAGGGTGTCACTACTGTTTTCTTGTATTCACCTAAGGCAGCTTGTTTCAGGTGGAAAGAGGTGTGGTTTGGATGTAGCCTCGTGATCGTGCTGAGGTAGTCCGCTGCATGCGGGGAGGTGATCAGGAGGGCTAGGAAAGAGAAACTCTTTCTTCATTGCAATATGGTGAAACTGGAGTTTTTTTAGAGTGCCTTGTGACAGATTGAGGACAGTATGAATCACAGGAGCAGTGACCTCTCAAATTTCAGGTGTGGCTCGTTGTTTGGGGCAGGAGGGGGGTGATGGCACCACTGGAGCGTAGGCTGTGGGCACTGTAGGCACATCTCTGGGGAGGTCCTTCAAGGCAGGGGAGAGGCAGGGAGATGAACCGTGAGCGGGGCTCCTTCAGCTGGCTCGTGACAGAAGGAGGGGTGGTGCCAAAGGGGCTCCAAGCACAAGCGTTGATAGTTTTGCCTAAAAACGGCCCCAGTGCGGGTGAGATGTTGACAGGCTCACACAAGGAAGAGGCAGGCTGAATATCCTGAGGAAAGAGAGAAACTGGAAGGAAGGTAGGAGCCAAAGCTGAGAGGCTTTGAGGAGAAGGCAACCAGCGTAGCAGAGAGCCCAGCAGGGAGCCTGCGAGGGACCTTGCAGGGCGGAGGGGACTCTCCCTTGCCAGGGCTAGCCCGGGGCTCTGAAGAAGTCAGGTGCTGCTACTGTGTCTGGTGCCCTCTGCTGATCCGTCGCAGGATCGCCTTAATGGCCTTAAACACTTTTTAGAAATGTTTCTCGCCCTCTGCCAACACTGTACATCTTTACTGCCTGTAAAGGTGAAGGGAATGCTCTGGCCTCCTGCTACGGTATTTCCAGGAGAGCACGTGTAAGCATCTGGATGGGATGGGATTGTCCTCCTTGACAGAGTTTTACTGCTCGCAGCACCAAGGTCTCCCTTCTTTACATCTCAGCAAGTCATGGAGTGGTCCATCCCTGCCGCTCTGACTTCCCTTTAGGTCGGCTCTGAGCTCAGAGTCAGTGTTCCCAGAAGAAGCTTATGATTTGGCCTAGACCGTGGCCTAGCGTTCCCTTAGTACAGTGATTTTTCCGCATAGAACCCCGCAGGCACGGCTTTGCTTGACTGAGTTACCAGATCGTTATGCTCTCTCATTCTACGGTTATCAGTATTAAGCCACTGAATCATTTTGTTTAGATGGCATTCCCGTTCCTCGGGCACGATGCAGTATTTTTTGTTTCCTGAGGAAACAAATTGACTCCTCATTCCCTGAGGTCATGAAATACGTTGACATTTGCTGGAATTGTCCCCAGCATTTCCTCAAGGTACAATCACACGGAAGACTCTCTCTTTCTCAGCCTTGACAGAAACATCAGAGAACCATGGAGCAGCCGCTTCTGGAGTTAGTTAGCATGAGGAGATGATAAAAACAGTCCTGCAGCAGCAGCGATGCGGTCCTGAAACAGAGGGATCGGTGCAGGGCCTCCAGGTCTATCCCAAGTTCAGCCACTGTGGAGCGCTCTCAGGCATATCGTGTCACCAACCATTCAGTCCCTAACCTCTGCCTCTACCTGCATCTCTTAACACTTCACAAGGGCAAACTTCTGCCACTGCCTTTGTGTGGGTTTGGTGGTGGCGGCAAGCGTGTATGGTGGCAGAGAAATGAGGGTTTGAGAAGCGTGAAGTGTAAGAGTTTGTTCCTGTTGAAAAGGCTGGTGGGCGTGTGCAGATCCCGCGTGTGAAAGCGCTCAATTGGAGCAAAGCAGGCAGAGAAAGGTTCTGCCAGGCATTTTCCTTCTCTCTGAAAACAGAGATGGAGACCTCGAAAAGGGAATAAATATTCGCCGAGGTATTAGGGAGCTTCTGAGTCTCTGTGAGTGCTCGAGCAAGGGAGGTGAAGGTTTAACCCCATAGCAGAATGGTTTTCCACCTATGATCAATGGGCTTGTTTCTCTCTAATAAATTAACTTTCATAATCAGCGTAGAGCCAGATGAGAGACCATACTTTCCCTGGGGCTGTCAAAAATCAGTGGTCATACCTTGGAGAGGTCTTTTAGGAGACGATGAAGGCATTACTGGATAATTCTGCCCTAACTCATTGCCCTGTTAATCTGGAGTGATTCTCCTGAATTCAAGAGACGTTCTGCATGCTTATGCCAGTGTAGTGGAGTAAAGAGTCCTTTCTCTGTAGAAAGGCTTTCTTTGCCACATTACCTGGGGTCTGGGTTTGTCATGTCTTGACCTGGGGTCCTGGGCGATATAAAAGAGGAGCCGCCTTCTCACTCAGTCAAAAGGGGAAAGAGATTATTATCTTTGCAGATTTCCTCACACTGATTCCTTCCTGGAGCAGGGAAATCACCATGTAGCTGTAACTGTCTGTAGGAAGCGCTTCATGGTAATGCTGCTCGGCTACTTCTTCCCTCTCTGTATTCCAAAGAGCTGACCAGCAGCAGAGGAACCTGCTAACGGTTTCCACTGAGAGGCTGTAAAGTGTTTTACAAGACTTTTAGCCCACGGAGAGACTGAAAGAGCTGCACGGTAGTTTACTGATGTGAATGAAGAGTTGAACAAAGGGGCTGTTTTGCAGTCAATGGACCGTAAGCTCTGGGGGTCAGAGACCTTGCCTCAGTTTGTATCTTCCCTGTCCTTTGCAAGGTAGCGCCGTGGTCAAGCACTGCCACAGTATATATTTGTGATTTCTGTATTACTGTTTGTGGCGTCTGGGGAGGATGCGATTTTGAACTCCCAGATCTAATCAGTCCCATCAGGCGAGGGTGAAATATCATGCCGGCTACACCATGCTAAACACTCTTTGCTGAACGCGGACGGGCTAGTTGTGCTCCAAGATGTGTGTGTTCGCCCGCTGCAGGGGTGCTGGCTCTGCCCGCTGCTTATTCAGAACTAGCGTGGGAACCTCTGCACAGCACGCCTGTGTGCAAGGCAGGTAAACCACATCCAGGGAAAAATGCAGCATCCTACTGTTCCCTCCTGGAGGATGGGAAGTTACTGGGAGGGGGCTGCATGTGGAGGCAGAGCTCTGCTTTGCTTGTGATGATTTGTTAGCAAGCCTTTGTCCTGTGAGTCCTCTCTCTAATCTTCTGATGTCTCCCTTTTGCAGATCTCCCAGCCTCTCGGTGGCCACAGGACGTCCCTAATGCAGGTTGCTGCAAGTCCTAGCATGGACGATGGCAAGCTTCTCGCTTGCCTGGAGCAGGTTGCTTCTGCCATGGCATATCTTCATTCCAGAAGGATCATACACTGCGACCTGCAGTGCAATTACATTTACATTGATTCTGGTTACGATTGCCCAGAGGTATTTGTGCTTCATACTTACTTGCTCGTGTTTCAGATCATTCCCTAGCTTCTTGTCCTACCTCTGCTTGGCCCACTGCTGCTTGGAACCACAATCCACTTATACCCCACTGGATCTCTGTACAAAGTCAGTCCTGGGTAGATGAACCGAGAAGTGCAGAGAGGGGAGCTAAGGAGCGCAGCATTACAGACATTGGCTGTTTGTCACATGCCATATGATGCATTTGTAGTTCCACCACAAAGGGGAGGTTTGCAAAAAAATAGTTTTTTTTTTTTTTTTTAATCTGGTAGTAGTGCAAAGAGGGAGGTCACTGCCAGAAAGAGAGTAATCCTAGCCTAGCCTATCCAAAGACAGGCGTTCGGGACAGAGGCATCTAATTGTTTTCTGGCAGTGCTCAACACTGTCCTGTGAAGAAGACTGTATTAACAAGCTTATACTGGCTATCCTAACTTTTAAAAGGTGACTTTAGAGGAGCGTCAAGGACAGGTCGTCCCATCATTACTCATCCCTGAACTGTAATTCATAGGTGCTGGCTGCTGTCCAAGACAGGATGCAAATGAACAGGGACCTTTCTGGCACAGTCTGCACCATTATAACCGTAGAAGTCTTGCTGAAGAGTAGATAAATGTTGTGGATCGATATCCCCCCTCACCTTCCTTTGTCTCTTGAAAGGTGATGGCAAAAGTTGGTCGGTGGGGAAGAGCAGTCTGTCTGCCACATCCAGGGACAGATGACAACCTCTTTGAGCCCTGTGTGCGCAAAGTTATGCCAGCTGATGCAGCCAAGTGGTAAGTGCATTGTTACTTTTTACTCCCCCTTTCTTTTCTGCTCCTTTTTCCCACCACAAACTCCGTCCCGTTCACTCACATCTTTAACCACCACCTTGTTTCACAACATCCATGTTCTCCTTATGGATCCTGTGGAAAATGGGGAAAAGGCAGAGTTTTTCTTTTAAGTGTTCTTCATGTTCTACCTTGTGTGAGGCCAAACAGCAGCTCTTTTGTTTCAGGTAAGCTTTCTTCTGGCTTTTTGTCCTGGCAAAAATTGAATACTCCCAAAACTTAATGAGGGAAAAATTGCTGTTGTGGCTTGTGCCCCCTTTCCCTTTGATAGCTTAGCTATGTGTTGTTCCACGATGCACCATTGCTCCCCATTCCTCTTCTCTTACTTAGTCACTTAGCTGTAGCCACTAATACAAAGCGTGAACTCAAGTCTCTTGATCCACAGTGACATGGACCCCTCTGCTTTGCCTTGCTCCCCAGCTCTCTAGTATATAGAAACATATTAGACTAATAACCTGCTCATTTCTTCAATAGGGCTGCGCCAGAGGTGAGAAATGACGGGCTCTATTCCCGAGCGTCAGATGTCTTTAGTTTTGGGATTGTGATATGGGAAGCTTTAACGGCACAGTTGACCAATCTGCACGTGTTCCAGCCACTGAAACCTTTCCACTCACTGAACAGCAGGGAGGTAAGGATGGTAAGGGTATATTTTGGGGCAACTCAATAGCAGCTTCTCTCTAACGCTGGCGTTGCTAGGGAGGGGAGGACCCATCTTCCAGTTTTTTTTCCTTCACATGTGGAAAGAAAAGCCTCCCAAGTGTGGATGTTGCCATTTATCTGTGGGTCATTGCTTCCTCCATAATTCTGTCAATATTTGAATTGAATGTTTGAATGGCAATGCTGGTTATGGGCCTCCCTTCTTAGGAAAGTATATTATTTTCCCCACAATCTGCTCTTCTGTTCACCTATGCTTTCCCTTACGAAAGCTGGACTCAGCCTTCGTGGGAACCTCTCTCCTTCCCCACTTATGCACTTAGCTCAGTTTTCTTAGGGCACGAGACTTACTGCTTACGCTATGGCTGTCTCTGTCCATCTGTCTGTCCGCGCCTTGGTCCCTTCTTCCACTACAGGAACTTTTCAACTTGTTGAGCAGATGTGATGGATGAGTGCTAATCTCAGTGCAACATTTTTGGAAATAGGCTCCTTCTGCAGAGGGAAAAGACCCAGATTAAGGCCCCCAGTGATAAAAGATTGCAGTGTAAACTCAAGCATGTTGCTAGAGAATTCACATACCAGAGAGCTCTACAAAACCTGGCTTTCTAAGCTCTTCTCAGGGAGTTATTTGTTGCTACTAACTTCAATTAGTAACATAAAAATTACTGTTTGTTATGCAATGATGATGCAACAACAGTGCAAGCTTGCACCTTTTCTTTTGTACTAGTGAGTCTGTGGCAGGGCAAAACGTGCATCCAGGCACCGGTTCTCAGAAAGCTAATGTGGCACTGGTTTTGTTGTCTGGCTAAACAACAACAGGTTCTAAAATTCACGGAGTTGGGAAATATCCCTGGTGATTTTGGCTTTCCAAAGCTCGCCGGACTGATTGGGTGCATGAAGGCCTGTTGGAATCACAATCCCACCAAGCGACCTGGGTGCATTCTCGGCCATATTAGAGGTGATCAAAGCAGAAAAACAAGCAGTCAGGTAAATAGCGCGCACTTGCACTCCCTTCTTGTGCAGCCTCATAACGGGACGTTCAGTTCCCCTGGTAAGTGGTAAGTAGTGTCCATAGGGGTTGCTCTTACCCCAGGGAAGCCTCCCTGTGAGCCTTTAGCTCACAGACTCAAGCAAGGCCAACACCGTTTTTTTTTGTGGGAATAATTGTCTTGCTAAAGGGCTGACGTATCCGGGTGCAGGGGGTGAAGAGGAGAGGGAGACACTTTTACCTAAGTGCCCTTCTGTGCTTTGGCTGACGTTTTAGATAACGGGAGGGGCATAACTAGAGCAGCCTTTTGCCAGCCTGTGATAGAACCATTTCAGCACATTCTTTTGTGCCTTATCAAGACCCATGGGTCTTCTGCAGCACGCACAACGTCTCAGCAGGATAAAACGTCCAGCACAGAGCTATGAATTGCTGTGGTGATTGCTTGCAGTAGGAAAGCAGATTCACTTACACTTCCCTCAGGTACTGCTGTGCTGTGTCACAAAGACCCAGCGTTGCAGCAGGAGAGCAGCAAGCTGGGAGCCTGGCTTGCAGAGACCTTCGCTTACGCCTTGCCTTGTTGGAGCGGGCCCAGTGTGGAGGGAGGGCTGTGCCATACTAGGTGCACAACCCCAGTGCACTCTGGGGAACTTTGAGAACTTTGGTTTCTAAACTTTAGAAAAACACTCGGATGGAGGCTTCTCAGGTTATCTGCCTGAGGTTTATTCCAAACTCCTGGCAGGAGAGAGAAGAGCAGCAGGAAAGTTGTTCAGCTACCAATAATATAATAATGGAGTTGTTAATACTCCATAATCAGAGAAGTTGCTCTGGAACCTCTCCATTTGCTGCATATGCCTTAACCAAATTCCCCAGGGCACAGAGACTTGCTTCCTGGGAAGTTCAGGTTGTTTCCTGTTAGCGTACGTGCAAATAATGCTAAGGCAGCAGAAGAACAAGTGCCTGCCTCCTCCACTTGCTAGCTCACCAGATCGCAGCAGAACACACATCTCCAAAGGGGAAATCACTTCTCTCTCTTGCACCAAGCCCTGGTCTCCACAGCATCACTGGGAATTCTGCCCTTCACTTCAACAGGAAATAGATTTTGTCTCCTTATAAAGAGTCCCTAAGTGTCTTCACTAACGGTTCTCAAATGCTAAAATACGGTAAGTCTCAGCACGAATCTCCAAGGCATGGGCATGAAGCACAGTCCTGCTGCCCTGCAGAGCTGCTTGCTTGAGGAAGTCTTTAACTTGACAGACAGCAATCGGGAAAATGTTTGCTTGTCTCTACCTGCGTATTTCATGGAAAATGTCTCCTAAAACCTGAATGCAGGGTATGGAAAGCTGAAATAGAGCCTTGTTGCAGCAGAACATCCCTGCTCTGAAAAAAGAAGCGCTGAGCTAAAAATTACAGCGTAAGGTTGTCGGGGTGAGGTCTCTGATTAGCTCAGCTTCATATTATAGTGTGCTGTGCATGACACCCACTGGCAGCCCAGCAGCATGCTGCCACTGAAACGACACCATGGCAGCACGTAACACACAGTTGTTCCAGGGAGTCCCGCGGCTTCCCAAACCGAGGGGAAATCACCCCAAAACGAGGGGAAATCACGTGGTGCTCCATGCGAGCAGCGGGGAGACGACTGCTTCCGACGCTCAGTAAAGATGGGAGCTGGCCGTGAGTCCAGTAGAGATGTACCTTTTAAAAGATTTTGCATGTTTCTAGAAGAACAGAGCGAATTCTTAGCCACAGCATACCCCAGCAGCACTAGCACTTCTTTCTCTCCTTCTGTCTCCGAAGGGACTGCAAGGCTGCCAGGCTCGCACCAATGCCTCCTACTGCTGACACCAACGACTACGACTCTGCTTACTTCAGCAGTGAAGCCACAGAGGACTCCTACAGCCATGTTTACAACACCGTTTCAGAGTCTGACCCTGATCTCCCGCAGGCCGCAGACAGCATATCAGGCCATGGTGATGTCCCCCAGGTCCAGCTGTTAGCAGAGAAGGCTCTTTATTTCTCCAGGAAGGACAGATGGGGAGAGATGGTTAATGAGTTTGAGGCAAAAAGAGTTATAGATAGGAGCCCAGCCACTCTCAAGGAGCCTGACCGGTATATTGATACTGGCATTAACTGGCATTTAAAAAAAAAAAAAAAAAAAAAAGCGAGGGGGGGAGGGGGGAAGTAAGGAGCTGGGCTTCTGCAAATCCCTGACTGGTGGCAGCAGAAAATCCCAGCACAGCCAGCACCAGCCAGTGGAGAGCCCTAGGATCTCATAACACTCAGGGCAACCTGATGACCTCACCCAGTCACTGGTGGGACCAAAGAGTAAAAGGACATCCTCTCTCCCACCGCCTCCATCCTGATCAGAAATTATTAACAAGCTAGCCAAGCAGCAGGAGTTGTTCATTTCTCATAACAGCATAGTATCGGTTAACATAGAGGGCCCTGCCCAAGTTTCCTTGCCACAGTGTCACTTGCCAGCCTTTCAATGGGCTGCTTAATAACAACACTGCTTCCAAACACTTTTCCACACTATTTCGCACCTGGTAAGGAGAATGTGTCTCTGGTAGACAGGAACCCAGCCCACCCAGGAACCTCCGTAAACTATCTCAGTGACTGTGCCGCAAGGACCTCTCTTCTGCTAGACTCTCAGTTCACCTTTAAAAAGCACTTTCAATGTTAACATGTGAGTTCATGGCCTTTGGGAATAAAACTGTCCTTTTGTTTACTGAAACAACACTACCACTCTCTGTGGTAGCAGACAGGGTTTACTTGTGGTTTTTCTTCCTCCCCAAAATATTATTGATGGTTTTGGATGAAAGCTGGAAATCAAAAAAAAAAAAAAAGCTACTTCATGATGGAGATTTACAATTCGGTCTCCCTCTTCCTCTCAGCCTTGTCTTTAGGTGAGTTAAACCCATCCTAAAATGCACAGCGGCGTGTGGATAGGCATGGGTGGAGAAGGAATACAGGAACAGCCAGCAGCCAAGGCTGGGCAAGACCAAGGTTCTATCTATGCCAACGCTCGTCTGACAGCGCTGGGGGTGAGTGTGTAGGGCCCACACTTCTGGCTGCTTGCACCATCCTCTGTGTTTGCAGAGGAAGAGTCAAAAAGATAGAGTTTGGAGAGAGGACATGTTTTTTTTTCATCCCTTCAGTCATAGCCTTGGACGAAGATGAGGGGAAGATTGGGCTTGTGTGGGAGGCTGTAGTAAAAATTTTAGTTACATATTTCTTGGTGGGATTATTTGGCAAATCCATGAAATTAAGGGCGCAATTCTTAGGGTGAACAGAAGAGGAAGAATTATTTGGCACTAGATGGCAGCACTGAGCACTGGGCTGAAGGGTAAAGTACTGTCTGACCTTGTTTTAGGAGCTGCGTGTGGGACGCAGCAGGAAAAACGAGAGAGAAAAGATTTCTGGGACTCAGCTGTCATATCATCTGTGTAGGCATCCAGCTTCCGCAGGCACAAAGGCATCAATCTCTCGGTACAATTTCGCTGGCAAGGAGCAAACGATTTTTAGCACAAGTTCTAAACAAGCACCCCATGGATTTACCCAAATATCTGTAGCCTTGCCATACGCATGATGCAAATATTACAGTTTTGGCAGGCGCAGGTATATCAAATATGGCCAGTGTGATCCTGCACCATAATGTAATTACACAGCGCCTGGCTAGTTAGGTTGTACAACACAGTGTAATCACTTGGGCAAAAAACGCTTTCAGCCAGGGAGAAGCTAGAAGGAGGCGCTGCAGAGCCCCTGAGAAAGGAGCAAGAGTGCAGCAGCTCCGCCCCTGCAGCGCAAGGCTTTGCTTGGCAAGCAGTGATCTGGAAGGACCTCTCCGTATAGTAAGAGGAGCTGAATCCCAACAGCTCTCCTTGGGCTTTGGCTAAGCCTACCAGCAGAAAAGGAGTGGGGGAATGTCCCAGATCAGCTCCAGCTCATCTCTTGCTGTCTCAGGGGGGCTCTGACCGAGTGGTCTGGTCGCAGACCAGGTCACAGACCACTGAAGCCAGCTGCCCCCATCAGCCTAGCTCTCAACAGTGAGGGTTGCTGGTGACTTGTGTCTGTGGGTGATTAGGAGAAGGAGGAGGCCTTCCTCTCCAGCTGTCCTTGCTCTCCGAGGAACAAGCCTGGTGTGCTCCCTCCACACAGGTCTCTTGCCCAGACTGAGAGTGTTGGCTGACCTGTGATTGCACAGTGCAACAGGATTTTCTCGCATAGACCAAACAAGTCTCTTGGCCCAAACGCAGTCCAGGGCAGAGCCCCAGAAACGTCCGGTCACTCTGGAGATGACCGTGCTGCAGGTCCTTAGGAGTATTTGACCCCTCGGCAGGGTCTTAGGTCTGCAGGCCCTTGGGAGCATTTGTTCTCTTTTAAGAGGGGAAAACGCAACCGATCCATTGCATTGTCGTTGTGCAGTGCTGCCTGTCACTGGGGCTTCCCATTTATGGTTTCAGTTTGTTTGGGAAGCAAAAAGATGTTCGAAGTCTTTAGAGAGCAAAAAGAAGGATAAGGAAAACAAATATTTGTAATGGAGCTGGCTGCTTTGATGTTCTACGAGGAAGGCCTTCCTCTGTATAACTAGAGGAGAGCGACAACCTACTGGCGTCATGGCAAGCTCTCCCAGAGCAACGCAAGAAAATATTGGAGGAAATTGCTAGGCAGGGTTCCCTAAGGGAAGGCTTTTTTTTTTTTTCCCCTCCTGTGAGGACCATTGGCTGCAGGTGCATGATTTAGACAACTCTCCTTTAGGCCTTACTCCCAGCGGTAACAGTCTGCTGCCAGACTGTTAAATGAAGAGAGACAAAGTGGCTAACTGCCAAGGTTATCTTGAGTGACACGGCTGGCTCTCTTGGTTCCTCTTTGGTTTTGCACTCTACCTTTAGAACCAAAAATGTTTCAGTGCAAATATTGATGATTCTGGCCTTACAGTCATCAGTGGGGTGCTCATAAATGAGTATTTCAAGGGTGCAGTTCACCTAACCTGTGATTGAACCCCAAGACATTCCTGTCTGACTCCTTTAACTCTGGTGGGGGGGTGTAGACAATCAGATAAGATGCAGGCCTATTGGCTATGGAGCCTGTTATTTTGAAATAGGAGAAAAGGCCCATGTTTTTTGTCAGTGGATGCTGAGGAAAAAACAGACAGAGGTGAGTGGAGAAGCATACAAAGAAGGGAATTTGCATTGCTTTTTTGATGCTTCTTCTTTTTTTGGTTGAAAATTTACTGAAGCCAGTGCAGCCAGAAGCAATTTATCAGATTATTACTTACACACTGATGGGGCAAGTGTAGAATTAAACGAAGGCTGAACAGCCGTGAAGCCAAAAGATGACAAATTTCCGTATATATCAGTATAAAATTAAATGAAAAACCGATACCTTAGCCAAGTAGCTTAAAGTTCCTTTTAAATTTGTATACCATAGATAGATAACCCAGACAGTTGGGTTTTTTTTCTTGTAAATATTTACGTTAGTTCATCTAGGCTTGTTCTTCACTTTCAATTGCTCTTAATCATTAATCAGTTAAGATTCATTTCCTTTCATGAAAGCCCAGGCTATTTTGCCCTCTTCTCCTTGCTACTTTTCAGTCCCTCCTTGTGGTCAAGTGAGTTCAGGGCCTGGCAGTTCACTCTGTACTTCTGGTGATCCTGCTTTAATGTGTAATGACATTCACTGGGCGTGGCAGGCGGGAAAATGCACCAACGATGCCTCCCTGACCTTTGTAAATCCCTTGTCTACCAGCGGCACAGTGTGGTTGCCCTAGGCTGGGTATAAAAAATGGAGCGGGACCCCCTGACGGGGCACCCTAGGGGTGCCTGTCCCTGCACCCTTCTGCTTTGCAGCCCTCAGTCCCTTGCGTGCTCTGAGGAGTGGAGCCGTTGCCCTCTTCCCAAGAGACCTCTCTCCACCCCGCGCAGGGCCCTCATCCCTGGCCCTATTCTGTCACAGAGCTCGAGGATGTAGATATTTTCTTTTAACCCTGTCTACCTGCTACCCTGAGACAGTTCTTGCTTGCTAAGATTTTTATGCTGAGGTTTTCTGCCGCAGTACCCTTGAGGACTTTGCTTCCAGCATGACTCTGGAGACCGACGACGGATTCGTGTTGCTTGAAACTGCTCTGCCAGGGTTTTGTTTCACCTCCCTCTCCTCTTGGCCTGCTAGTACATAGCCTGTTGGGCATTCACAGTTCAGGACTTGCACTTGGATTGTCTTCCTTAATGTCTCATTCCTCCCTAAATTAGCAGCCCTGTGGTCCATAAAATGTATTCAGTTGGACCCATGAAAATCAAATCAAATTACTCCGCATCTAGTGGTGCCACAGTCACAGTGCCAAAAGGATGGATCCAGTTATGGTGTTGAGACTAGGCCTTGGGGAAACTGGATTCAGACTTAGGAAAAACACTTTATCTGTGTAAAATAGAGGCAGTGATGCTCCCATTTTTAAATTCTCCTTTATTTAGGCTGAAGTACTTGTAGGCAGGCCTTCACCCTCACTTATTCTACCGATGCCCTCAAGTACAACTGGCTCAAATAATAAATAACAGTTTCTCCTTACGGACTTTTAGTCGGAGGATTCCACATACCTTACAGTGACAGGTGTAATGAAAGAGGTCATGGTACACTGAGAAGGTACACTGAAAGAGGTCATGCAAGTTCACTTCTGCTTTCTCATAAAAGCTGTTTTGTTAGTCTGAGGTTGGATCCTTTCAGCTGATGCCTGGATCAACTGAGTTCATTAAGAAACATTTAACCAAGCCATTTGCACTGACAAATCAAATATCACAGAATCACAGAATCATTTAGGTTGGAAGGGACCTCTGGAGATCATCTCGTCCCACCTCCCTCCTCAAGCAGGGTCCTCTAGAGCATATTTCCCAGGATCACATCCAGACGGGTTTTGAATATCTCCAGGGAAGGAGACTCCACTACCTCTCTGGGCATCCTGTTCCAGTGCTCTCTCACCCTCACAGTGAAGAAGTTTTTTCTCAGGTTCAGATGGAACTTCCTGTGGTTCAGTTTCTGCCCGTTGCCTCTTGTCCTGTTGCTGGGCACCACGGAGAAAGGCTGGCCTCATCCTCTCGACACTCCCCCTTCAGATACTTGTACACGTTGATGAGATCGCCTCTCAATCTTCTCTTCTCCAGGCTCAACAGGCCCAGCTCTTGCAGTCTTTCTTCAGAGGAGAGGTGCTCCAGCCCTCTAAGCCTGTATGTTCTGTGCATTTTGGAGGTCTCAGCAAACTGGTTGGTGTGTCTCAGGGAAAGGACAAAGGGCCAGAGACCCACGTGTTCAAGGCGAAGAGCCACAGAGCAGTCAGAGAGCAAACAGAGCCTAGAGCGAGGTGGGAAGGCTTCTGCACTCACTCCTCTTTATAGGGTCTTGGATTCCTGTGCGGATGAGGAGTGAGTAACAATATTTCATTTAATATTTTATATCCTGTGAACCATTTAATATTTATTAAACTGATCATTCTGCTAAGCTCTGATCATGGTGCATTTACCTCACACCTTCAACCGGTTTCTAGAGACATCTTGAAATGTAGGAGCTGCTAGTTGCTGCAGGGACTCTGTGGTTCAGGCAGAATATGTAAACTCCTCAGTGACAATGCAAATGCTGTAGACAATGTGGTTTGTCTGGCTAAAACAGCAGACGAGGACAAGCTGAGTTTAGTCCTCAAAAATCTGCATGTGTGGGTACAAGTGTGTAACCTTCATTCCAGAAATGGAGGTGAAATACCTAAGAAGAACTTGGGGTGATGCCCTTTCTTCCGCCACAGCTCCTCTCTCCGCTGTGCTTGGATACTAGAGTGACTGGCAGATGTTACCCCAGGCATGAGGACAAACAGCAAGGGTTTAGGCATATACACTGCAGTAGGCTGTAAATATTTCTGTTTTCTGGCCTGTCATGTATCTTGGCTCTCCACCATTCACTGTCTTTTTTTGGTAAAGGAATACACCAGGACAACATTGCTATATTTACAGGTCCCAGTTGTCACAAGGACTCCTACCGGTCTTAACCTCACCAGTCCTGGAGAAAGAAGTATTTCAGATTTTTCTGATAGCGCTAGAACCTGATTTCTTTTGTTCTATGTGAGTGATTACGCAAAGGAACACAAGCTGAAGAGGTTAAAAAGCTAGCATATGTAAACAACTAGTTCATTCCTAATTTGTTCACTTTTATCTCGTGCAGATTAATAAGTAATCTCCTATCTCTTCAGGAACAGAGAGGTGCCATTGGCTGTTTTTTTCATGTGCTTCAGTGCTAGAGCATATATATAAAAATGGACTGGCAGGTCCAACTTCAGCTTCTTCTGAAACGCGACAGCTTTTCTTTGGCCTGCCATGGAGCCCCTGGGAATGACCACTATTTTCTTAATGACTTGTTTCTCATGCCTTCTCTTTTCAGCATGGAGAAGTAAATCTCGCACAGGGAAGCAGCCTCCTGGTCCTTTGACACTCCCGTTCGTTGGAAACATGCTCCAGCTGAACCCGCGAAACTTGCCGCAAAGCCTGGAGGAGGTAAGGGATTGTCTCTTTCCTTCCCCTGTTGTCTCCGTTGTACTTAAAACGAAGTCCAGTGCAGATGGGCTCTCAGCTTAATTCACCAGACAATGTCAAAGCTGCATTGACCAAAAGTCGGACTCAAAACAGAAACAAAAGCTTTCTCAGAAATACGTGCTTCTGAAATCTCTATACTGTCTATTATAATAATCAGAGTAACAATGAGTGCTCTGCTGACCTCACGGTGAAAACCCTCAGGGGCAAATCCCAATACCCCTGGGAAATTAGACCAGCTGAGAAGCTCTAGGCTTCACCTACAGGCCCAGCAAATCCACAAGTTTTACCAGTAGCGTGGAGCACGGTGGTACTGCAGTATTTTGCTAAGCATGACTACTTGGAGAGGGGAAGGGTCAAGTGGTAACATAGCTGCACTGGTCAACAGGTCAGGTAAGAGGCGGCTTTTCAGTACCATTGTCAGCAATCTACTTCAGCCTCTATTGTTCAGCCTTCAGTTATCTGCCTCCACATGGCAACTTTACACTGGAAGCGTCAAGCGTCGATCCGCAAACAATAGTGTCTGTGGAGAGCTGAGAGGTGGGCGTGCTGGGCACTGCTAAAAAAGAAACCCTTGTAGATTAAGTATGCCTGAGCCTGTATTTACTCCAACTCTTCTCTCACACACCCTTAACAGTGAGTGAGGTTCTGCTGAGCAGAGCATAAGCCCAACTTTGGCAGTACAATGCCTGTGTGCCTCCAGCCCGGACATTGTTAAGCAGTTCTACGGATTGGTGCATAAGAGAACAGCCATTTTGTCTGTCACAGTGGTGTGGGATCCACAAATGTTTCCAGAGGTTAAAAAAGAAAAAAGACCCTTTGTATGAAGTGCTAGGGCTGACAAAGCTGCTTCAGAGCATTCACTTCTTCAGCGCAAAAATGCAGTAGTGGTGGCTGCCTCACTGTGTGCATCATCAAACACACATACATGCACATATGAGCTCCTTTTTGCCTCAGTGCTTGTGAATGTTGAGAGTCATGAGCGCATCCGGCTTTATTTTAGAGCGCTAGGTTATGCAGTTTCCTACCGTAAAAAATAGGACTTCATCTAGCTTGCTCTTAAAGACTGAACATGAGAAAAGGTGTTCTAGGCCAGACCAAAAGTCCATGTCCTTTTCTGCAACTGTAAACCAAAAGCAGATGCCTGGGAAAGCGTACGGGACTAGCACAAGGAGTCAGAGACTCTTCCTTGGTATACTCTTCCAGTTTCCAGAGACCTGTGGCCCAGGAGCTTTTAGAGACAAGCGTGGTGTGTTTGTGTGTGAAGGCTCTTCCCGCACTTCCATGACCATGTGTAACTGCTTTTTGAGCCTGTGTAAACTGTTGGTATCCACCCTGTAGCAAGGAGTTCCAGACTGCCCTGCAGGCCTTGTGAAGAATCATTTCTTTTTGTGGAATTTGGACCTGACACCTCGTTCTTTCCAGTCATGCGACCTACTTTTTGTATGATTGTTCCCTCTTCCCCTGGCTGTAATTCATGGTTCAAAGGTCTTTACCTTTACACTGCTGCTAATCAATGCTGTGTCTTAACAGTGCTGGGCGATGGCACACCACTCATCAGACCTCTTTGCTATGAAGTTCTTTTTGCTTGATTGACATTCAGATGTGCTGTTCTTTGTGTTCTTTCCTACAGCTCAGCAAGAAGTATGGTCCTGTCTTCAAAATACATTTAGGCCCAAAAGAGGTTGTGGTGCTGTATGGCTATGATGCTGTGAAAGAAGCTCTGATTGATCAGGCAGATGAGTTCAGTGGAAGAGGCACTCTACCACTGCTTGACAAACTCTTCCAGGGCACAGGTATGTTCCTAGTAATCTCAGCATGCAGAGCTGATGCTTTCAGTGCTTCAGGAAACAGCTGAGAAGGCAGTGAAGGAGGCAGTGTGTGTGTGTGTGGGGGGGGATTTCATTTACTACTGTCAGGCATAAAAATGAGGAATGAAAGATAAACAGCCCAACTCTCTCCCATTTACTCTTGGATCCTTGAGTAAATGGGAACTCCATACACACACTCACACTAAAGCTGTTTAAGGCCCTAGGCTGGCTTCACGGAGTTCCTTGTATTTTCAGCAGTCTTCAAATTGTGGACAAAAATTTTCATCATGAGGTATGCCTTTAAGATCTTGCTTTCACTCTTCCATCTCTGAAAATTTTAGCAATGCACAGTCAGCTAAGGAATCAGCAAGAGTCAAGTTCCAAAGCACGGGCTGTGCCAGTAAAAGCCTCATTCAAGATTAAGCCCTGGGCTCATTCAGCAGGGCAGTTCCCAGTATGGTGTTTATCCAAGTAAACGGCTACTCCAGGGTGTACTACAGGTTACATGGTATGAAGACGACAGAAGGCTAGAAAGCAAGAGAGAAACCGGGATCCCCAGGATTTCCATCCAGCCTCACTCTCAGTGTCATTTAGTCTCCACAACAAGCAAACAGCTCTTTCTCGTAGTGATTATTTCAGCGCCGCGCTCTTAGAGAAAGCCTGTGGCATCCAATAATGAGGAATACCATCCCAAGTACCCTTTTCACACACTACTTCATACTCCTCCTTCCCTTTGTCCCTTGTTCACCAAAGAAAACTTGTGCTTTATTCAACCTGCTGCAATCAGAAGGATCAGATCCGCCACCTACAGAACTGCAGAGAAGTTGGGTTTTGGGGCATATAGCAATTGCAGTGGAACCCCACAGAAAGAAGTCTTTGCATGTCAAGAATTTACTGCGTAACCCTTGCTGGGGGAAAAAAGTCTGTCTCTTCATGGAGTCGCTGTTTTTTCTTCCTATGTCAGGTATTGTGACTAGCAATGGGGAAACGTGGAAGCAGCTCCGACGATTTGCCCTCACTACCCTGCGTGATTTTGGGATGGGGAAGAAGAGCATTGAGGACCGGATCCAGGAGGAAGCTCATTTTCTGGTGGAGAGGCTCAAGAACACATGTGGTAGGACATGAGCTTTGTGGCTACTAGGGCAGCCTGCACGTCTGCAGTGATAGTGAAGGGTGTGGAGATGCTTCACCAGGTGCATGACCCAGGAAATGGGCATATGGTTGCTGTTTTTGCTCCCTGATCCAAGGGGGTCTTGAAGAAGCGGCTGGCAGGATAACTAATTTCCAGGCATTTGGTTTTGGTCCAGTCTTCCGAACAATAGACAATACCTCCGAGTTCTTAGGGAGGGGTTGACGGGGTCAGGGGCTACTATAGGCTGTTTTGGGGGGCAGGGCATAGGGTAACCCCACTGGTTTCACCAGAGAAGAATAAATTGCATAAGCCCTTCATCATCCTCTCAAAGGACTGAGGGACTCTGGGTCTTAAATGGATGCAAAACTTCCCAGTAGTGTCAGGGGAGGGAACAAAGGATTGACATGATGAATGCAAGATACCGATTTTGTTCCAGAACGACCCTTCAACCCTAACAAGTTCCTAATCCATGCTGTTTCCAACATCATCTGCTCCATCGTCTTTGGGGATCGGTTCGATTATGAGGATAAAAAATTTCAGACTTTAATTGAGTTGCTAGAGGAAAATAACAAGATCCAGAATTCTATACAAACACAGGTATGTGCAAAGTTTCATTACGTTAATAAATTTATGAATGATTATAATATTGTATTAGTGAATATTTATTTATGGAATTAGTTTTTTTGTTGGGGTGGTTTGTCCTGAAGTAGGAGAAGATTTTTGAAGGCCAAAAAGGCAGTTAAGTGACCAGTTCCTGAGACTTTTTTCCTTAAGGATTTGCCATTGTATGTCCAAAGGAGGATGCCACTGTAAAAGTAACCAAAACGTAGTGAAGTCTTTCCTTCAATATAGTGACACCATAAAGATTTTAAAAGGCATTGCAATCCAGTTGAATAATAAAGACCTACTGTTGCAAACTGGTTTAACTGTCCTAGTTTCATAATCACAGTTAAGGGAAAACTTTGTTGCATCCAAATTAACCAGAATGTGCTTTTTCATCCTTTCATTTTTACAGCTATACAATTTCCTCCCAAGAGTCCTGGAGCACTTACCTGGGCCTCATCAAACAATGGTGAAAAATATTGAAGCAGTTGATAAATTTGTTTCTGAAATCATAATGGCCCACCAGGAATCTCTGGATCCCACCTGTCCTCGAGATTTTGTTGACGCTTTTCTTATCAAAATGGAACAGGTAGTGTAACAGCGATACCTTTTGAGATTACAAGAAAACCACTGTTTGGAATCCCAGCATCTTCTCACAGTCATGACAGGGCACTCTGCCTTTGCAAATAAAGAGGGAAATTCGGTATTTTTGGCACATCACCTTTACTCTGTCCTCTCCATTGTCTTAGTAAGAATTTTTAAGACAGACAATCACAGAACTAACAATGACATGCAGCACCAACCAAAGTTAGCAAAGCTGAAGACCAATCTGGTTGAAGTCAGTCAGTGCTCCCCCCCATATTAAAAAAGGTTCATAATCCCCCATATTAGAAAAGGATCAGAATATTTTTCAGCAAAAATACTGTAATTGCTGGTGTTCTGGAGAGTGAACGTTGCATTTCTGAAAGGACATTAGATGTATCTAAAAACATGTGTGATGGGTGCAGGACTTCCCTTTGCAAACAAGTTTCTTAGCCTTTGCACTCAAACAGTTTGCCAAATCTTTCTCCAGGAAAAAGGGAACGCGCATTCAGAATTCACCACTGAGACCTTGACCAGAACCACACTTGACTTGTTCTTTGCTGGAACAGGGACAACCAGCAACTCACTGAGATATGGGCTTTTGATTCTCCTGAAATACCCAGAGATAGAAGGTAAGACAAAAGGGAATAAATAACTGAAAACTTTTTTATTAAGTCATGGAATCACAACATGAACAACTCATGTCATTATCACAAGCGGCAAAGTTCCCCTGACTAAGGAAACGCGTGGAGTACAATATGGAATGTGTGCCAAAGCAAGTTTTGCTGTACATACAGGACAGGCCTACGCAAAGAGGTGGGAGACTTGTCCATTCAACACTTACTTATTTCCTAACAGAGAAAATTCACAAAGAGATTGACCATGTGATTGGCCGAGACCGAAGCCCCTGTATGGCAGATCGGAGCCAGATGCCATACACAGATGCTGTGATCCATGAAATCCAGAGATTCATTGATTTCCTTCCACTTAATGTCCCACATGCTGTGACCCAAGACACCAAGTTCAGAGACTATCTTATCCCCAAGGTCAGTTCCACTGCCTCTGAGAAAGGTCATAATCTCTTACCCCAAGAGAACAAAGCCAGGATGTGTTCTGTTTGTTGCATTTTATTTTCTTTCCAACCACACTGAAATGTGATACAGAATCATAGAATAATTTAGTTTGGAAGGGGCTTCTAGAAGTTACCTACTCCAGCCCCCTGTATTCGAAAAGAGCCTTTCCTCCTCTGTGTGAAGAGGGAGATAGTGCTTTCTATTATTTCAAAGCTGGGAAAGCTGAGAATTAAGGTCTCAGACTTGGAGGGAGGCAGATACCGCAAACTAACGGTCCTTTGGAGGTGTTAATATGCCCTAAGACTGGCAATGGTCTAGGCCTGTGTTTCCTTTTATGAGTCAGTATTCCTGCCTCTTAATGAACTGCATCAATGAAAAAGGTAGCCAGTTACCTCTTAGATACAAACAAGTACAGCTGATCTCACTCAACCATTCCTAAACTTCTTTGCTTGCTCAGAAAAAAAGATTTTCCCCAATGGCTCTTTTGGAGTTCTATTAGTTTGTCTCATTCAATTTTAGTCTTACTGCTTCTTATTGAAGGCTGTATGTAATGGGTCCACGTAGGGAAATTCTCAATGCCACTTTACTTTAGACTATCTCTGTTCTAATTTTCTTCTCCTCTCTTTGCTAATTTAGGGCACTATGATATTCCCTGTGCTAAGATCTGTCCTATACGACAGCAAGGAGTTTCCAAATCCAGAACAATTTGACCCAGGCCATTTCTTAAATGCAAATGGTACCTTTAAAAAGAGTGACTACTTCATGCCATTTTCTGCAGGTAAGTACTCCATTTCAGATCCTAGGCAGTAGGACATGAGAGGCTGAAGCCTTCAAACTGCCTTTGCCCACCATGCACTCTCATATTGTTCTAGACACTGAGCCCCCCCATTTAATTCATTCACTTCCCCAAATGCCTGTTCATTCTGAGATGTCTGAACTTTCATTAAGCAGTAATTAAAATAACTTACCAGCAAAATATTCCCCTAACACCTCACTTTTCTTTATTTCTCCTTGCAGGAAAACGCATCTGTGCAGGAGAAGGTCTGGCACGGATGGAGCTCTTCATATTTTTTGCAGCCATCCTGCAGAATTTTACTTTGAAACCTGTTAAGGATCGCAAGGACATTGACATTTCCCCAATAATCAGCAGTCTTGCAAATATGCCCCGACTTTACGAGGTCTCTTTTCTTCCACGTTAGACAAGTAAAGACAGCTTAGACACTCAGACTGTTTGCTAGATTCTTTATCAAGATAACTGTCATACTAAAAAGAAGAAAATGTTTGTATGTATCCATCTCTAAACAGAGTAGGTGGTTGCACAGGGGAGGAGAGAGCTCCCTAGGGCAAAACTATACAGGCTTTCCTCCACGCCCACCTCACCTAACCCAGCTCCCTATGTGGTTCCTGACATCCTGACATGGCAGGGTATGTGAGCTGGTGCTCCGAGAGCCCTGCTTCTGCTGCCTGTACCACCTGATCCTCTCAGTACAGCAGGAACAGACAGTTGTACCACAGGGTTTTCCCAGACATTGCTTGAGGTAGGTGCCTCTCCTCTGTAGTTTCAGCTTTTTTTGTGACCTATTTGTAATGGTAAGCACAAACTGTGTAGAACTGTTTTTTTTTTTTTCTGTCAGAAGATGACAGTCTTCCATCCCCAGGGGCTCATCAGGCACTGTATGCTTGCCATAATATCTATCTTTTCCTTCGGTGGGGATGGAGTTTATCTGATGACTAGACAGATGGCTCCCCTCTTATACTATTATCATAGAATCACAGAATGGTTTAGGTCACCTGGGTCAAAAAGTTATCCTCAGTGCTCTGCAGGAACCTCTTTGACTGTTTGTGCCTAGCTGTGCTGTCTTCCCAGCAGATGTCAGGGTGGTTGAAGTCTCTCATGAGAACCAGGGCCTGTGATTATAAGGCCACCTCCAGCTGTCTGTAAAAGGCCTCATCGACTACTTCTTCCTGATCAGGTGGCCTGCAGTAAACCCCCACAGCCATGTCACTCATGTTAGCCTGCCCTTTAATCCTTACCCATAAGCTCTCCACTTGCCCTTCATCCGCTCCTAGGCAGAGCTCCATACATTCTAGTTGCTCCCTCACATAAACAGCAACTCCACCACATCGCCTTCCTGGCCTGTCTTTCCTATTATAATAAAGGTCTGTGAAATTACACTTTATATTGTAAAATAAAGAAAAAGTAATAAACTGGACTGTTGTTTTTCTGAGATCCTAGATGAAGGGATGAAGGGGTTTTGGTGGATAACCTGCCTCCACATAGCCTAGACTCCCAAATGTTTCCCCAGCCTTGCATATACATGACTATTTTATTTCACTCATTTATAGGAAATGTTTTCTGGCTTGAAGGCTGAGCTGGTTAGATTATGACCTAAAAAACTTTCCTTCTTAGTGACAATGTGAGAGTAGGGTGGACTGACCTTACTAGAGCTATTAGAACCCAGGCTGCAGTTCCGGAGTTGTCCAGTGTGACAAAACAGGACAACTAATTGCACTGGATACGCTAATTCTACTGCAACAATACTGGGACACCCCACCCCCCCATCACAGTGCCATTTACTAGATGAATGGCAGCTGGCATCCTCCCATACCTTTATAGAGTGGGTAAAGATCACTAAAGCAATTTTACAATGAGATGAAAAGAGTTTATATGAGTTGCCAAGCATACACGCACACATGTAGGACTAGCATTTCTTGAGTGGCTCATGTTCCCTGCAACATATAATTAATAGTGAAGACAGGCAGCTGAACCTGTACTACATAGAAAAAGATAGTAACAGTAACATTACCACACTGTCATTAATTGTTTATGTGAAGCACCCAAAACTTCTTTTCTCTCAAACCACTAATAAGCTTGACATACCACGAGTTGGTAGCATAGTATTACAAAGGCAAAAGACCCAAATGTACCACAGAATCACTGAAATATGAATGAAAGGTACATGAAAATGTCACCTGGGTTACTGCTAGCCAATTAAAAAAGAAGAAAGCATAAAGGTCACATTTAAAATTTTCCCTTCATGCTTTTCCATAATCTTGCTGGACATGAAGCCAATTGCTTTGGTTTGGAGTTGTTGAAGTCACTATCTAGGAAGACAACAATCTTCACACAAAGCCTCACTTCATGCCTACTTTCAGGGTCTCCTCCCATGTCTATTCCTTAACCTTGCCACCAGAAAATGGGCTTCCTCCTGGATCCGCTCCTCAATATTCTTCTTGCCCATCTCAAAACTTCATAAGGTTGTGAGGGCAAATCAACAAAGCTGCTTCCACTGCTCCGCATTGCTGAAAGTAATATCTGGAAAAGGAAAGAGCACATGACAAGAGGTACAGGAAGAACGGGTTCCACACCTGCAAGGAAGAGAAATAATTCCAGCTCAGGTCCTCAGTCCCATTCAATCACTTTTCTGTCAAATTAGCCATAGTACATCCTAGGGCATTTATGCCAGCTTTATGCTCTAACTAGGGCGGCTATAGAACAGATCACACTTGAGGCAGCAGGAAGTTCGTGGCAGCTTCACAGTACACTAGTAAGATTCAGTCTCACTGACATAAGATTAATGTGACACTGGCTCAGCGTCATCACTAGATCTTACACAATGAAAACGGCAAATAACTATCACCAGAGAAGAGACTAGAGTCACCTCCATCAGGGTGGAGTTTTGGGGTACAGCAGATCTGCTCTAGTGGCTACCCAGTAGTGGAGTTTTTTAGCCCTAATATTATGTCAGCCCCATGGCCAGCTCTTGGCCAGGCCCTCCAGCTGCTGCCGTTATCCAGAGACCTGTAACGCTCAGGGAGTAAACTGGCACACAACTAAGCCCATCAAATAATTTTTTTTAAAGTGTGACAAGTTCTTTGCCTAATCAGCTGCTCACTGGCTTACCTCAGGCTCAGATGAGCACCCTGGCCCAAAAAAAAGGGATGCTAGGAACATATGGTCAGGATCATAACTATCAGTGGCAATTAACCAATAGATCAGCTTAGACATCCTCAAAGCACCTGACGGCAATCTGCACAGCCACTCGGGCTGTATAAAAGCCACTGGGGTTATACTGACTCTTCAGGATTGTTTGAGCAGTAGAAAGAACTGTAGCACTTTACACAAACTCCACTGTGCTACTTTGGTTCTGGGACTCACTACTCTAAATGGAATTACTGTTTGGCACATAAATACTCCAGAGATGTTCTTCCCATATGTCATAACTGTAACTCACAGTACCTGTGTACTGTGAGATGCACATAGACCCACACACAGACGCACACAGCAAAGCATCCAACTTTCTTGCAGCTGAGGGGGTCTCAGGAGAGTTTTCACAATTGCACTATTGCCTTTTCAAGCAATACAGTACGTGCCTCATCTGCCTCCTTTCTTTCACCAAAGACTCTCCGTCTGAGAAACACAGCTTTTCCACTTTCTGCAATGTGTGGCCCTGCTAATGTGTGTTCCCCACACACATGAACATGCTTTAGTCACTCATTTTTCAAAGTAGGAAGATCAGGCAACTGGTGTCAAGGACAGATAACCCACTTTCTTGCTTAGCTTATGGCATCTAGTTTTTATTCCAGGTGACTCCGAGCCCCAGCTTCCCAGCATGTTTCATCTGCAGCTCTCTGAAATGCTGCTTGTAAAGAAAAGAAGAAATCCTAAACAGAGAGATTCCCTAAAAAGATTATCAAGAGAACTTGAGAGCATCATGTCCTGTGCTCTCCCACTGCAAGAACTAACAAGCTCTGAAGCCATTCAATCTGAACTCTCTTAACAGGCTAAAATGTGGCCTCTCATACAGAAGACATCATATGATAACCACTAGGGACAGAATAAAATGATAGTATATGCTGCAGGTTAGCAGCATGAGTAACCATTATGGGCAATTAAGCTTTAAGAAAGCTTTAGGTTGCACAGTCCGGAGAAGACCAGTGAAGAGAAGCTTCGGGAAGCTGTTTTTCCCATGGGCAAAAATGTCAGAAAATCAGCCAAACTGCAAACTAACCTACATATATGGTTTTTACATTATTTCTAGAAAGAGCAAATGACTACCTGATGTATCAGATTATATTCAACTACATTAATTTATATAATCCAGTATGACTGTAATCATTCATATGATTAAACTCATATCTGATTATTTTACACATATCTGATTATTTTATTCATATTTGATTATTTTACATAGATTAACAGCATTGTATTTTAGATTTAAACATAATGAAAGGGTTCTGCAACAAGACAGGGCACCAGGGACAACCACAGGCACCAAGGCTGTGGTCTTGTCATGTTCCCCACTTTATTTCCTGCCATCATTCCCAGCTTAAATGCTTTATAGTATCCTTCAGAGCAACCCTTACCTTTACATCTGAGCAGCTATTCAACCTTCTCACACTAATTCTCATTTTCGTTTTGTAACTATTAGGTTTTAAACTGCAAACAGTTCCTACTATTTTATTGCATGGATTTCCTGTGCCATATCTGTTTTGTGTTGTCCTCTTCCTAGTCCTTATGCTGTATCTTTAAAGTTTTAAGTAAAATTCTTTAACTTGCTACCACATAGGAGAGAGGTCTCTTTCCTTGGGGCACCTTGTCTGGACTTCCCTTGTTCCTAGTTCAACTCTTTCGGGGTGAACGAGGGAGACAGGGAAGGCAATAGAACCCTGTCAAAAACAGACCTGACTATCTTAAGATATGCTTAGTCCCTAGGGTGGAAAGCTGGGTGAGGACACCACCAGAGCCATATGCTTTCAGGTCATAACCCAGATCTTATAGGATACAGCAGCTATCATCTATGATAGCAAGAGACTAAGACTGTTTGTTCCAGTGAACCAAAGGTCTCTCTAGGTTCAGCCAGGCTTTGTTCCTGTATTAAATGAAACATCAGCTCTTCCCACTTCTGACTTCTCAGTTAAATCCTCCCACAAGGACACCTCTACCCCAGTGAGAACCTCTCAGGAAAGTACCTGTTCCTTTGGAGAATTTTGGGAGAGTGGTGTAAGTCCTCTTTCTCTGGACTCCTCCCCTTTCTCAATCAGAGCTTCCTTCACAACATCAGGTCCATACAGCACCACAGCATGTACCAAGTCCAAATACATTGTGAACATGGGACCATACTTCTTACTGAGCTGAAAGAGTTTACCACAAAAGACCACAGTTTTAAAATTACATCCATTTAATTCTCAGAACATAAGTAGATCTCATTACACAGTAACAAAAGAGCTCTTGTGAAATAAATTCACACCAGACTGGGATATTAGTAAGATCCACTTCACTATATAGCAGTTTCACTTTTGCTCTGGGCCTTTCATGTGGGACCACTGGAGATTAAATTGATTTAGTGAACAACCACTCAATTGACTTTGAAAAGTGACTAACAACAAAAATGACACCTCCTGATGTGCTGCAAGTGCTTATTCATCTGCTGGCTTCACAATTACTGGGAGTTTTCATTCTTTTGCTTCCATTTTGTTAGCTCTGTACGCTCAAAGCAGAAAAGAAGGGGGGTGGTTTTGCATCACCAATGCTCATTTCCCGAGTTGCAAGCAGTAATGCAAGCTGCGTATGAGGCAGCTCTGCAGCTGGGAAGCAAGTGCAGGGAAGGAAGGGCTGGCCAGACTCACA